GCGGTGCTTCGGTGTAGACATTGCTTCATCGAAAGTCTTTGGATCATCCTCTACCATATAGGTTAGAAATCTGGGCTAAACGTCTTGAAAGTCCTAACCCTTTTACTACGCCTTGGTTCTTCCCCATTTGAAATTTCATTGGTAGTTTCATATGTTCTCTTGTTAGAACTCGTATTTTCCTTATCTTTGCAAGGAAAAATATTTTCAAAGAATGTCGCATTGCTTGATTCAATTATGACCCCTTCGTGTATATCTTGTATTTCGAATTCGTGTACAAGAAATTGATATGCACTACTATTATTGGCGTATCCAATAAATATGCAATCTATCGTTTTAGGACCGATTTTCACTTGTTTAGGCTTAGGTATCTTAACCTTAGCCAAACACCCCCACACTTTCAAGTATTGGTAGGATGGAGGATGACCTTTCTATAGTTCATATGGTGTCTCTTCCATTTTCTTAAGAAGTATTTTATTAAGAAGACTATTTGCCGTTAAAATAGCCTCCCCCCACTTGTTTTGTGGTAAACCCGAACTTATTAAAATGACATTCATCGTTTCCTTAAGTGTTCGATTTTTGCGTTCTGCAACACCATTTGATTGAGGAGAGTAAAGTGCTGTTGTTTGATGAACAATTCTATATTCAGAACAAAAGTCTTCAGACGGTGCCCCATATTCACCTTCTCTATCACTATGAATATTCTTTATTCATTTTTCAAGTTGTGTTTCAACTTCAGCCTTATAAGTTTTGAATGTTTCTAAGGCTTCGTCTTTACTTCTCAAAAGAAAGACATAGCAAAATTTTGTACAATCATCAATAAATGTCACAAAGTATTTCTTACCACCTCGAGTTTGTACAAATTTTAGATCGCATATATCGCTATGGAAATTTCACAAACGGTCACTGAACTTACTTTACAAAACGATCGCTGAAGTTACAAATTTGCATAAACGGTCACTTAACTTACGAGCGCTTTCACTAAAGGTCACTAAAGTTTACAAACTTGCCACCTCGAGTTTGTACAAATTTTAGATCGCATATATCGCTATGGATCAATTCAAGAGGGGCTGTGTTCCTTTGTATTGAATGGAACGATGTTTTAGCCAATTTTGCTTCAACACATATTTCATATTTATGATTAGGATTGATTTTATGCGTCGAAATTAAATTTTGATTCATTAGTTTGGCAACAATTTGTAATTCACATGTCCTAATCGACTAGCTTACAAACATGAAAGCTCAAGCAAGTAAACGAAATTTATAGTTTTATTCATAACGACTTGCTTCGGTACAATTGTAAGAACGTTCAACTTGAACATTCCATCACACATGTATCCTTTCCCTACATACATCTCATTCTTAGACAACACAAATTTATCGGATATAAATACAAGTTTAAAATCATTCTTGCTAAGTAGAGATCCGGACACTAAATTCTTTCGTATATTTGACGCATGTAGGACATTGTTGAGGACGAGTTCTTTCTTGGATGTCATCTTCAAAGTGACTTTGCCTTGTCCTTCAACTTTGGAACTTGCAGAATTTCCTATGTATAGTTGTTCCCCATTCAATTCTTGATAGTTGGAGAACATCACCTTGTCTGGGGGGGGGGGGGGGGGGGGGGGGGGGGTGTTAAGGCTTGAAATTTGCTATTGAGGTCCTCGAGGTTCCTTGTTCACGTGTTTTGGTCCTTTAAGTTTGAATTAAAATCATAACGATTCTAATGGTGATCGTTCAGTAACCGTTAGTGATAGCGCACAAAAGTTAAGTGATTGTTTCTGCAAGTTTGTAAACCTCAGTGACCGTTTGAGTGAAAGCGCACGTAAGTTAAGTGATCGTTTCTGCAAGTTTGTTCTTGTTACAGTTGTAACAATTCTCTTTGAACTTCTTAGCCTTCTTGGAATTGTCTTTTCGTGGTGCATATTTTGGAGCCTTTCATTTCTTGTTTGTTGTCTTTGGTTCCATTTTAACAAAATTTGGACAATTTTGATCAATCAACTATATATATATATATATATATATCATTACCACCGTTTGTTTCCTTTTAAAACAAAATTCTTTAATTCTCATACTTATTTTCAACCATACATTTACACGATAAAATATTGGATGGAACGAATTGAATGAAAAAGTTTATCATGTTTTAAATTGATAAATGATAGAGTAACATGTGGTATTATGTTACCATTATATAAAGTTTGATGTACATGTAACAAGATCCTGAAATTTTTTACACGGGTCAGATCTGTCCCTCTTTCAATCAATGGACAAATCGGGACTCTCATCATTAAACATATACTTTTTTAGTCCTTAATTTTTACAAACTATTAGTACTGTATTAAGTATCCTCAGAACATTCATATGGTTCTCGTCTCTTCACATCTTGACTTCTAAAACAATCTTTATAAAAGAAAGCGTAACCACAAGTATGATAGAGTAACCTATTATTATAAACCGGCCGCTCGTAAATGTGAGGTTTGCCTCCACCTCATAAATTGCACGTTTCAATTGTACTTGGGCCATGTTGGTCGAGGTAATGATGATCTTCTCGTCGCCACGGCTTGAGTCACTAGGCAATCTGTGTCCACGCGGGGATAGAAAAACAAACCCACTCTGATGGTCTTGGGATTAACTGAATACTTCGACCATCTTCACCTCATATGTTACGCGTCTCAATTATATCAATATGATAATATAGTAAAGTTCATGGGCTTAATTCAATACTTCAAAATCGACAATCTTCACCACCTCTCAATTATGACCATACGACGTAGAACATGCTAGCGAAGTCTTTTCTAGAACAATCTGAGAAGAAAAGTCGAATTCTACAGTTTTTTGGCTCTTAAATCGTGCAATTTTTCCATAATTTAAACATCTTTCCGCCGCCGGGGTGAGTGTGTATTAGTGGGGGTGTTTTGTATTGGAATAATGCTATAGGTTTTTGAGACATTTCTTATACTTGAAGACATCGAGAGAACCTTAAAAATAATGGACAAATGTACTTGATTTGAACAAACGGAACCTATATAAATGATTTGGTCACATGGCTGGGACACCATCTTTTTCTTCTGAATATGATCATTGAGGTCTCTGTCACATTGAATAGTAAATGCAGGATTTTCGAAAAATTCCTTTCTTTTTAATCCTCCATACGGCACAAATGATGGCATTACACTTCGCGGAGAATATTTTGGAAAAATTTACATATTTGATAGAGAGAATAATTTAGGCCTCATCTGCATGTGAAGAACATATAATTCAGAATTCTCAGTGGGGTTTTTCTGTCATGAAAACCTTTGATCGTTTTCACAAGATCATAGAGTTCTCGAGCATCAGGCGGTGTTCCAATGGTGGCGATGCGGAGGTCATGCGACAGGCCCGACCTCCAAAGACTCCATGCAGCTGTTATTACTCGTCGAATTAGCATTATAATGAGGCCATTGCTGATTGTATTGAGTTTTTCAACAAGTCATCGCAGGATAGTGTCCTACTTATTGAAAGAAAATCTGATGTTATACTGTGATTTTTTTAAGTATATATCAATTTGGGCAATGTAATGATAAGCACTTTCATTGCTTGGAGATGAACAAATTGATAATTTATAGTTTATTATTAAGGGATACAATCCCACATCGAATAAAGATGAAAATATAAATCAATTTTGAAACATTCCTTTTAACAAGGTTACAATTTAAAATGTAACTCTAAATCTTAATATGGCATCGGAGCCTATTAAGCTCTAACAAACAACTATATCCAATTAAAACTAAAAAAAATAAGCATATGAATTTCAAAATTAGTTTACTAAACGAGACATCATCTTACGGGACATGCTAAGGAATCAGATACTAGTTCTCTCTGTAACTCCTCCTTCTCTTATCCTAGCTCGTCGTTGGTCCCACGTCATAGACCAATTTATAAAGGATTAGGCTACTCTTCTTAACAAGGTTGATATTTTAAGATAAAACTCCAAATCTTTATATGGCATTAGAGTCTAGTAATCTCTAATGAACAACTACAAAAAATGAGCATACGAATTTCAAAATTAGTTTGCTAAAAAGCCACCATCTTGCACGGTATGTTAAAGAATATAATCTCACATCGAATAAAAATGAAAACATAGACCAACTTATAAATTATTAGGCTATTCATCTTAATAAAGCTGATTTTTTAAGATAAAACCTAAAATTTTAATATTTATCTTACTATGTTTCTGAGTTGAGAAAGCACTCAATTTAAAATAAAAAAATAAATAAAAAATAAATAAAAATAAAAACTAAACCCTTCCCTTCTTTCATACACGAATCCTTTTTCATCTAAGAGTTAGGATCATGTTATATGACTTAGTCATTTGACGAAGCTTTTAGCTTTGTGCTCAGTATTAACCTACCACAACTCTCTTTGCATTCTAGACTTGGGTTCAAAGATTATAGGCAATCAAATGAGAATTTCATCATATTCGTTCTTGAATTAATATTTGCTGACTGTTAAGAGCATTTTCATGAAACTCTTTAAACATGAGATGCTCTCTATTTTAAAGAGACGAACTTTAAAATTGTATGCAAAGACTCTTTAAATTAACATTTAATTTAGAGGGTAGGTATGGGTCTTCAAATTCGGAGAGTGAAAATCACTCTCTATAATTAAAATGCATTCAAAGTGTTTCAATTTTCAAAGTAAAAAAATAATAAAATAATCTAGAGAAAAGCTAATTAAAATAAATTGTAAAGAAAAATAATAAATATATTTTTGCAGTAATAAAATTAGGTTTTAAATATAAAGAATTTGTTAAAGTATTTCAAAATTTTAACTCTCTAAATTCATAGATATATTCCAAATGATAAAATCACTCTTTAAAAATAGAGAATTTCTCTTAGCATATGAATGTGTATAGAGTTTATTCTAATTTTATATGTGACTCAGTCCTGGGATGGGAGCAAGTTAGTATAGTCGCATACAAGATTGCTCTTAAATATTCTTGAACAAACTATACGTGTAACTTCAATCCATTTCTAAATAGAAGAAAAAGTTAATGAATCACAACTGACTTTCATAGAACTGAATAAAAGAAAAAACAGAAGGATGAGCTTTAATTCATGATACTCATTTTCTCTTATTAAAGTAGGCCTCTATCTATGTGCCTTTGGAATTAAATTGAAAAATTTTAGTCTTTTAACTTGATAGAAGGCTCCAAACTTCAACGAGTTCTTATTCAGAATTACCCTTAATTATTGAAAGAATCCTTCCAATAAGTGGGATCAATTGCTTCTTCTTCTTCTTCTTCTTCTTTAGAGAAGGGTGCCTTTGGAGCACAGCATCATCACTTGGTTCCGGTACTAAAATTTGAGAAACGGATGGAGGATTTGCAAATCTCACAAATTTCTTTTTCTGAAACTTAATTTTTTCATCACTAGTTTCCTTTTTTACTTGTAATTTTGTAGGGTCTTTGACAAATTTGAGGTCTTCATTAATCTCTAAATCGAGCAAGTATTTTTTGTGTTGCATTAGTTGTTGAAGCTCCATTTTAGTCCTATCGAGTTCCTCTTGTAAAGTAGAGAGGCTGCTTGCCATTTGCATGCTTTAATAAAAATGAAAACATAGACCAACTTATAAATTATTAGGCTATTCATCTTAATAAAGCTGATTTTTTAAGATAAAACCTAAAATTTTAATATTTATCTTACTATGTTTCTGAGTTGAGAAAGCACTCAATTTAAAATAAAAAAATAAATAAAAAATAAATAAAAATAAAAACTAAACCCTTCCCTTCTTTCATACACGAATCCTTTTTCATCTAAGAGTTAGGATCATGTTATATGACTTAGTCATTTGACGAAGCTTTTAGCTTTGTGCTCAGTATTAACCTACCACAACTCTCTTTGCATTCTAGACTTGGGTTCAAAGATCATAGGCAATCAAATGAGAATTTCATCATATTCGTTCTTGAATTAATATTTGCTGACTGTTAAGAGCATTTTCATGAAACTCTTTAAACATGAGATGCTCTCTATTTTAAAGAGACGAACTTTAAAATTGTATGCAAAGACTCTTTAAATTAACATTTAATTTAGAGGGTAGGTATGGGTCTTCAAATTCGGAGAGTGAAAATCACTCTCTATAATTAAAATGCATTCAAAGTGTTTCAATTTTCAAAGTAAAAAAATAATAAAATAATCTAGAGAAAAGCTAATTAAAATAAATTGTAAAGAAAAATAATAAATATATTTTTGCAGTAATAAAATTAGGTTTTAAATATAAAGAATTTGTTAAAGTATTTCAAAATTTTAACTCTCTAAATTCATAGATATATTCCAAATGATAAAATCACTCTTTAAAAATAGAGAATTTCTCTTAGCATATGAATGTGTATAGAGTTTATTCTAATTTTATATGTGACTCAGTCCTGGGATGGGAGCAAGTTAGTATAGTCGCATACAAGATTGCTCTTAAATATTCTTGAACAAACTATACGTGTAACTTCAATCCATTTCTAAATAGAAGAAAAAGTTAATGAATCACAACTGACTTTCATAGAACTGAATAAAAGAAAAAACAGAAGGATGAGCTTTAATTCATGATACTCATTTTCTCTTATTAAAGTAGGCCTCTATCTATGTGCCTTTGGAATTAAATTGAAAAATTTTAGTCTTTTAACTTGATAGAAGGCTCCAAACTTCAACGAGTTCTTATTCAGAATTACCCTTAATTATTGAAAGAATCCTTCCAATAAGTGGGATCAATTGCTTCTTCTTCTTCTTCTTCTTCTTCTTCTTTAGAGAAGGGTGCCTTTGGAGCACAGCATCATCACTTGGTTCCGGTACTAAAATTTGAGAAACGGATGGAGGATTTGCAAATCTCACAAATTTCTTTTTCTGAAACTTAATTTTTTCATCACTAGTTTCCTTTTTTACTTGTAATTTTGTAGGGTCTTTGACAAATTTGAGGTCTTCATTAATCTCTAAATCGAGCAAGTATTTTTTGTGTTGCATTAGTTGTTGAAGCTCCATTTTAGTCCTATCGAGTTCCTCTTGTAAAGTAGAGAGGCAGCTTGCCATTTGCATGCTTTCTTCCCGTGCCTTTTGAAGGCTTTGCTTTGTCTCCTCTAACTCAGCAGTCACAGTTCCAAGCCTCAAAGGGATGTGGCCATATTCACTTGCTTTATCCTGCATCTGCATTTTGGCAGTCGACATCACTTTAGGAGCATGTTTGATACCAAATAAAAAATAAAATAAATAAAAATAAATAAAATTGAGCATGATTAAGAAAGAGCAACATGTTAAGATTCCCAACTTTCGATATTCATTTCCAAATAAATGGAGAATAGTTGTCGGGTTTTTTCCATTTAAACATCAATGGGATATTGTCACGTCGAACTCAATACCATTAAAAAGAGTCTAATCATATCTAACTATTGTGTCAAAAATATTTTATAAGATTTGTGGAGTGCAGCTGAAGTCAAGTTTGGGGCTAGCATCTCTACTTAGAAAGCAAAGTGATTGATTCTCTTCTCAAAGATCTTGGTACGTACATATGGCCATTAATATATTGAATATATTATTGGACCAACTCTATCTGGAAAATTAATTCGATACCGATAGTTACATATATCATTTAAATTTTATTTTTCACACGTGTAGTGGACTTTGTATTTTCCATCAAAACCTAAAACATGTACATATATGGTGACAGTTGAAACCTTAATTTAAAAGTTTGCTTGCTTTGATATAAACCACTTAATTTAAAAATTTAAGATGATAAAGAATGTCACATGTTATATCATTTAAAACCTTACAATTAATGGGCCTGTCAATAGTTCTCTCTTCGTGAACGAATTTGACCCTAGAAGTTAGATATTCCTTTTTAAGAGGACACTAATATCCCGATCTTTCTAGTTGGGAGATTGATCTAACATACTCAACACTCTTTTATTGCATGTAGACGTACATATTTTAAATATTTTACCTGAAAAATCTTACAAACGAAAACGAAAGGCATAAAGGACCACCCGAGCTCATTCTAAACTCCAACCAACAGTATTCTCTTTTAAGCGAACTTTTGTTTCTACAAAGATTTTGTTTTCACGAAGATTCTCATAAATACTTCATTAAATGAACTTTCATGAAAGGCCTCATCTTATTCACAATTTTCATCATGCCGAGCTATCTTAAAATTTAACCTTTTCACCATTTTAATAATCATATATACATAATAATTGTTGAATGAGTGGCACAAGCATTAAGAAAAATAAGAAATAACATGACAAAGAACAAATGTGAATGAATTTTGCATGAAAAATGCTGCACTAGAAAGTGCGAATTAAGCAACCATGAACCATGTGTATGTGAGAGAGAGAGAGACCTGTTTGAGTTTGTTGGCATAGAGCTCACCGGCTAAAACCCGATCGCCGAACAAGACGACGGCCTCTTTAACAGATCGGAAGGGTGCACTTGTATCAATCTCTGCGCCCACAACTCCAACTTCTTCTGCACCTTCCATAATTCTCAATCAAACAACCTGTGGGGGGTGTGTGTTGTGTGATATGTGTTTGTTTTGAGTGATTTATTTGTTGATCGGAGGTTCGTTTCTTGGCATCCACTTCTCTGGAATTCTTAGTTCTGTTGCCATTTGATTTACGGGTTTTTAGTGGATTTAATTGGTGGGCCCATTTTTTGTATTTGTCGCCCCGACTCAATTAAAATTTGACAGGAGGCCCACACAGTTTTTTAATTAATTGGAAAATTACACAAAAAACATGGATTTAACATTTCATTATCAAAAATCAGATTATTGAAAATTTTATTCAAAAATCAAGTACTAATTAAACTATTATTGTATATAAAATATATATATTAAATTAACATCTTCCATTGTTTACATTTCTATTCATTAAATGCTTTCTCTCTCAAACACCTCCACCTCCACCTACACCCCTACACCCACCCACGCACACCCACACTCACTCCCTCCCCCGCCCAAAAGTAAATATCTCCATTCCAGGTATGTATTTTTTCCCATTCTTTCAATTCTTTCCCTAAAAAAAAATAAATAATAAATAGTAATAATAATAAATAAAACAAAAATAAAATAAAATTCCGTCTCCATACAACAACATTTTCTCTCGCTGTAGATTCGATTGTCGTCTTCCTCTGACCATCATCTTCTTCCTATCGTCCTTTACGAGTGCGATAAGGTTGGAGTTACTAGAAGTGGTGGTGGTTGTGCGAATCTACGACACTGGTGTGGGTACAGTGGTGGCGATGATTACTTCTAGTTTATATAACTTGGCATGGGAGTCATGTCTAATAAGTGGTATCGGGTTTATTCAATAAGTACTGTTATGCAGCTTCACTGCGTCTACAACTCCAATTTAAGTGGCACTACATGATTAGTTAAAGGGTAAATGAGGCCCAATGCCCTATTAAACTAATGAAATTGAATAATACCCTTTTAAAACTAATTAAACCATTTAATACGTAATTAATACGCCCTAAAAGTCCCAACCTCCCCAAAAACGTAATTCAATATCCCCAATTCGAGAAGACGAACAGTCTTTTTCCACTCGAGGCTTCTCCTCTTTCGAATTTGTTGTTATAACATGCAATGCAAATTCTGCATCTGTAACCATATTCGTTGATGGAGGTCTTAGAAACTAATTGTTGTTCCTTAGTTCAATAATCGAACGGAACCAGGGGTCTTGTCTTCTTTTCCTTGTGCGCATCTCGCCCAATTTAATTTTGTGAAAGAAGTAAGATCCTAAAGCAATCAATTATTTAATTATCTCAGCTTTTGGGCTTTGTTTTTGTTTAATGTTTTTCATTTGTATAGTATGAATTAAGCGGTCCCAATTGTAAGACAGCTTCAATCGTTGTTCAGTTTCAAGTTTTCTGGACAATGAAAGTTTTAATTGGCGTTAAATGTTGTGTGTGTATTATGTTGTGTTGTAGTTCGAGTTTGCTCTTAGAGATGCTTTTGTTCAATATGTAATTTATGGGAATGTTCAGAATGGTTTGCTTGTAATCTTCCGATTTGTGTAGTCATTAGCAAACTCAAATATGTGTTGCCTTCTTAGGTGAAAATGAGTTGTTGAAAAAACTTAATGTGAATAAACAAGAAGAAACAGAAAGTATGAGTAAATTTATTCTTATTTAACGGAAATTACAAGATTTTGAGGTTGAATCTTTACTTTCCTAGTTGGTATTTCGCTGTTGCCGGTCGTTTGGATCTTAATGTCTTTTAAAGGTAAGATTTATAGAGTCTTCTCTACTGTGATTTATTGTTTTTGTGAAAATTCGAGAAGTTTGGATTTTTTGTGTGGAATTGAATGTTTGATTCAAATACATCACTAAATTAATCCATTAGGGATAAAGTTAGGCAACTGGATAAATCTTTACTTATGTATCTTGGCTACTGGATAAATTTGGAAAAGGCTGTGGAAAGAGAGGAAAGGTTAAGGATTTGGAGGCAGGTTTTGAACATATAGATGATGAAAGGAGATTGGGTACCCATTTCTTTCTGGGATAACTGCTGGAGCAAAGTTGTTTGAAGATGTTGCAGATTGGTCTCCATTAGTTGAAGTGGAATTTAAATGAGGAGAAAAGAGCATGTTGGCAATGGGATTAGGTTTGGTTTGAACTTTATAATGTAAATAATTGACATTCATGAAGTCTCTTTTGATGATTTTACTATTGTGATTGGGAATATGTTTGAAAATAATATTGCTGAACTTGAGAAGAAATTAATTGTGTCAATACATATGAAAATATAGCTTTGAATAAATTAAATCAATGCATACAAGGTGTTTAACGAAAGGAGAATGTGAAAAATTAAAAAAAGTCGCACAATCTCATTTGAGTAATTAACTAGATACATTTGTGTGCATTTTTTGAGTATTGAACATACAAATTCATGCTTTGTTTTATACTAATACATAAAATATAGTTTTCAATCAATTAGATTGATGCATGAAATGTATTTCTTCAAAGAGAATGTGAAAAAGTGACCGAATGTAACATTTCTAGAAAAAAAAAGTCACATTTTCTCATTGAAACAATTAACTAGATGCATATGTGTGCATTTTTTTGAAAATTCGAACATACAAAATTAAGCCTTGTCTTCTATAATACATATGAAAAGTAAAACTTTGAATCAATTAGATTGATGCATGCAAAGTTTTGCTAAAGGAAAATGTGGAAAAGTTTGTCACTTTTTTATTTTCTGTCACTTTTTTTGAATCTATGTAACTTTTTTTCAATTTGTCACTTTTTTAAATTGATCACTCTTTTTAAAATTCTGTCATTTTTTGAATGTTTATCACTTTTTTAAGTAATTGTCACTTTTTCTTTGAATTTTTGTCATTTTTTCAGTCGTCTTCTTGAAACTTTTATCACTTTGTTTTACTACGTATCACTTTTTAATTTTAGACAGTATTTTTTACTTCCAAAGAAATTTTTATATGATTTTTCAAAAGATCCATAACTTTTAGGGTATTTTTGTAAGTTGTCCTTGGTTAAATGAAATGCTAAATTAAATGAGTTATTTAATTCTACATATCAATTAATGCTATATTAGCGTCACCTAAAATGAAATTGTAACCCCAATAGGACTAAATAGCATTACTCTTATTCAACTAGTGTGAACTTACATTATTTATCTCCATTTGAATTGCTAGAGGAATATGGAGGTAAAGATGATGCTCCATATTTAATGAAAAAATTACACTTTTCACCCTCAAACTCTGCAAAATGTTATTAATTTATTCTCAATATTTTTTTTAGCATCAGACATTCCAACATTTCACTTAGCTCATAGTTGGCCTCCATTTCTCAAAGAATTATATTATTTAGCACCAGTAATATTAAAATACTGGTCTAAATGATACTAATGTGACACTAAATATAATTGAATAAATCACTTAATTACACCATTTATTGAACTTATCATGCATCAACACCTATATTTATATTCTTAAAAGTCATTTTTTTCTCAAATACGTTTTTAATCATACATTTCGGATGATCCATAAATTTTTGTCAACTTTTCAACAACACATTACAGTATAAAATTTAAATATGATTTTCAGCTAAACCACAAATGATCTGTAAATTTTATCAACTTTTCAACAACACATTACAATATAAAATTTAAATATGATTTGCAGGACAAACTAACTCCCTGCACCATTGCCATTCATCTGTATAACAAAGACCGCCATATAAGCTTCTAGCTTTCTATATATTTATAAGAATTATGCAAAGAAAATAAGGTATATTTTATCAGTTTAACAGGGAGATTAGGTTTACCTTCCGATAATTTTCGGCTTCGACCATTTACAAAACAAGAAGGGGAATCGGAAACATAACAAGCAAAGATTTGGAGAGGGCCATGGCTAAAACACTTTGTGAATGGATGAAGAATAAGCAGGATGACTATGTTTTATAGGCTAATAAAGAAAATCTTAAGCCTCAATCAGTCACATAATAAGCATTTTTCTTTCCCTATCTTTTTTTCTTTCTTTCTTTTTTTTTTTTTTTAAATATTTGGCCACCGTTTGCCCCCATTTCTTAAACAATCATGCTAGAAGTACATATTTTTTTATTTTTTATTTTTTAACAGAAAATTTTGACAGACAACAATTATTATCAACTTTTCAACCACATATTTAATCAACTTTTCAAAATCTACAAAAAAAATACTAAAATAAAATTATCACAACCAAAAAGGGGCATAGTGTGTTATAAGTCATATTTTTTATGGATAACAAGGTCCGATTTTATGTCCCCTCCCCACATTTCTACATTTTCAAGGTATGTTCTTCCAGAAAAGGGAAAATTGTAATGGTTGTTTAGAGCACGTTGAAAATGAAAGGTTGAGAGCAATTAAAAGGATAAAACTGAACTTGTTTAGATGTTATCTTAGTCTTAGCCAGCCTTTATATAACTAATACAGACCGTCCATGTTTATTTATCATTTAGCACAAAGTGGTTGGGATAAAAACAGGAAACGAGAATTAAATATTATTTTTCCTTTTTAATTTTTTGGGAGTTAAATCTTTTAAATGTACTAGTCATAGTAAACATGCTTTTTCCAATTAGAATTTTTGTTGAAGTTATGTGAAAACGTTAATTTTTTATGTTGTGCCAATATTAAATAAAAAAATTATATATAAAATATTTTTTGTCGACAAGGAATATCTAGCTGACTTGACTATAACCTTCATAGTTACTATATAATTTCTTTTGAAAGTACAATATTTAATTGTTCCCAAGAAAATATATGTTGATCATCTTTAGAGTTTGACGATATGCTTGCATAGTAGGTGATATTACTAATATTTGTTGCCCGAGGAGTATCTTACCCCGAGGACTCCTGCATGTTTCCCCTTTATTGTCCTAGCATGATGTCCTCGAGGTATGTGGGTCCTTGAGAACATTATCCCGAGGACTTGCTTCACACTGTTATGAGACGCGCCTATTAGCATCCTCGAGGATTGGTCCTCGGGTTATGGTTCTCTAAGATGATCTCGAGGTACAAATGTTTATCCAACAGGAGTCTAAATTCCCAAGGACTCTATCTCAAACATAATTAGTCTCATGATCTTTGAATTCTACCAGATATGAACATACGGGCATTTAAATCCTACTAATAGTCCAACAATCTACCACTATAAATATAGACCCACAACCCATTAATCAAGTACATTCTTCACATAATTCTCAGAACACATTTCTTTTCAATCCTCTTTCTGACTTAAGAATTGGAGGGGCAACGAAAACACATTTCGTTGCCTTTGTTTCAGATATCAGAAGATCGCATTCGTGCTTGTTATCAGCCTCATTCTCGAGATCTGCAAGGTACAATTTTTTGGTAGAATCAATAGGAATGCATGATTCTAGCATGTTGTTCATAGCAATTTCTGCATGAATAGCATGTTTCCAAGATTGACGACAACTCTTCTCGAGACGAAAATAGCAGGAGAGCATTTGAGTAAGGGGCACACCTCTTGGTTTCCTAGAATTCTAGTTGGAAGATATCATAACGTACGAACTAGTTTGACTAGTTGGTGACTAAATTGTTCAAGGTTGAGGTCTAATACAATGTCTAGGAAGAGTCGTCAAAAATATTCGATCGGTGTTGATCATTTTTTTAGTAGTGGTGGTCAATATGTAGATCACTTATAAGCTAATGAATGCTGATTCGTGAATCAGCTTTGTGATTGACTCTTTCAAATTGAGTTAATGCAAATTGATGAGAAGTCGACTTGATGATTTGACAAACCCAAAAGAGATGTTCTTTACAAATGGACTATACGTATTTCGACTTTGCTTAGAGTCTAAGCAAACCTTGGTGAACGAATAAGTTAACGGTCAGATCGAGGATTGAAGCAGCAATCATTGTGATCTGGTTGGCTTTGATCGTGAGCTCAATGAGATGAAAGATGCATACTCCACAACTTAATCAGCCTACGTAAATCTTGTATTCGTGTGTTTATCATATCGACGTAATGATGTTATATTATTTCAGAAAAGGAAACAAATTAATTAGTGTATAGAGCTCTAGAATTTTAATTAAACTAGCAATTGAGTAAAGGACAAAATTGAACTAATTTGATGTTAACTAAGCCAACCACGGGCCAACTCGTTACGATCCATGCATAATTCATTTGTCATGTAGTACAAAATGGGCGAGATCAAAAAAAATATATTAAAATTGCTCGAGTCCATCACTATTCGAGTCCAACTTAGAAGATAAGCTCAATCAAATACTGCAATATGAAGTTATTCTATTTAAGCCTTCCTTATACAAGAATTTATAAACAATTTAATTTATAAATAATTTAAAATATATGAATAGTATTTGTGATTTCATTCAGGGCGGAGGTACGGCTAGACCTAATTAATTTTGTAAGTTAAAAGGCAAATAATAATAATAATGAAAATTTTAACGACATTTTTTTATTTATCAGTTCAGTAAAAAAAAAAAAAAAAAAAAAAAAAAAAATTGTCCCTCCTAAACGTTCATTGAAATGTATGATCGAATATGTGGAGCACGTTCTGTAGGATGAATTGAACAAGATGGGAATAATTTTTAGTAAGATTGAACACAATTAATGATGTAAATTATGTGAGAAAATTAACGGGGAAAAGGGAAAAATAATAATAATAAACCGCGTTATTTTTAGATCTTCATATAAATAACAGCAAGCAGATATAATATTCTTTTGTAGTAGTTTTACACAATTATACGAAAATTTATTTATGACTGACAATAATTACTTTAATAAATGTTCAGGGAATGAATCGAAAACAACATTTGGATTTTCAGACATGAAACGCCAACTGATGAAGCTTTAAGGGCACTTCTTCCTGCCGCCGTGTGTAGTCATGTTGGCATAGCAAGGGCATATCTCCTGGTTGCCGGCGGTGCCTGGTGGCACACAGTTGCACCGATTGCAGCAAGTTCCACAGGCTCGGTCGCAGAGCCTCGGCCGCGATGAAAGCCGGCACCTCCTACTACATTCCTTCCCACAATCTGCACATACATATAGATAACCAACAAAGATATATGTATATAAAAATAATATGTACATGATGATAACATTATTATAGGTGAAAATAGTACGAAAGAACAAGAAAATTAAGGCGTTGTTTGGTGTAGATTAAAATCAAATTTATAGTAAATTATAATAAAAATTGATGAAATGTGAGGTTGAAAAATTACGAGTAACATGATAAAATTTTAATTTGAATCCAAACCAAACACGGACTAAAAATGATCACTCCTGATATAGCTATTAGGTGCTATACACACAACTATTTGTACACATATTATGACCAATGCAAGTGACCATATGAAGAAAAATAATAATAATAATAGTGAAGTTAGTAGATGTTAACCTATTTTTTGAGGAGGAGATGGTCCAAAGGCATGAATGTTGACCTGACCAAATAAATTTTAAGAAAGTTAAGAAAGAACAATTATTCGATCAAGTATAGTATGATAGAAGCAGCATATGATTTGAAATAATAATAATAATAATAATAATAATAAATAAAATAAAATTACTCTTACCCTTTCATCAGCTTCGAGCGTGCAAAGAACGAGCCAGAGAGTGAGGAGGGAAGCAATCAAGAACTTGGACATGATGCTAAAAACTTGATTGTTTAATGGCAAACTCAATGTCAAGCGTGTGATGAAATGAGAGCAAACTCGTTGTATTTATAGAGTAAAAGATTTGTAAACTTCTCTTTTTCCTATTCCTCTTTTCTTTGCATGTGTAGGGGGGGCTGGGGGTACCCTAGGCAGTATAATAAAAGGGTCTACTTCTTGAAGCATCTTCGTACCTTTTAAAGTTTTCATTTATCTTCCTAAAGTTCAACAATAGATTAATGAGTCTAGTTGGATGCACCATTTGTCATCATAATTGAGCCAAATGCATTTAGATGAACTACATTCTTCTTGGTAAAGTAAGATTGATATTAATTTAGAAAAAACAGTGTGAACAAACGTGTTAAGAAATTATTTTTGAACGTGTTTAGATAATTTTATAGAAATACTTTGTCTAATTAGTAAAATTTTCAGAGAAAATCGGACTAAGATATCTTTTTCAAAAAGTTCTTATATGAGAAGTAAAAACAAAACTTAATACTTTCATCATTTTCCATTTACATATGAAGACTTCTGTGACTGATTTAGAAATGACAAAAATACATGTCAAACTCGATACCTGTGGGTCCCATCCTGAATTGGCCAGTGATTAACCTCTTAATCAGGTAATCGAATCGGGTACGAGGCGAGGAATTCCACCCCGAGGTGGGTATGGGTAACATGGGCCTCGCCCCATTTAATTTATTTATTTATTTTTATAAAGAATTCAATAATTTAAATGAAAAAACTCCACGGAATTTTATTAATTTTAATAGAATATGGAAACTAAGATTATCTTGGAAATATGATAAACAATAAAAACCTTAGTTTATCAAATATATTTGAATAATTTATCTTTTAAAAATTAATTAATTAATTAAAAATTTTAATTACTATATTATTGTCTCACTTGAATAAATGAAGACAATAAAATGATTTATCCAAAAATAAAATAAAATAAAATAAAAAATTAAACGAATACGCAAATAGGACAACCGTACCAGCCAGCCCCATCCCACCTCGTTGCCAACCCTAGGCTTTTCAACTGGATAGCACAGCAAAGTATTTTTTTGGAGTAAGGGTAACCTTGCTTTGCTTGATGCGAGTCTCTAATGTAGCAAGATGATGGTATCCGGGCCCAGCACACTTTTCTTTAACCCACTGCCAGCTGTACTTTCTCTCAATAATCGAGTTGTATGGAATGTATTTTCATATAATTATTCATATTAAATGCTTAGCTGAACATTTACTTGTAATTATTTAGTTTGTTAAGCATCAAATCAATTTCATTTAATAGACATCAATCATCCGATGTACAATTTCCATTTCTACAACAAAATGAAAAAGGTAAAATTGTCTCGGCTGCATCCGAAAGGAGACTGATAGCCATTTTATAGAAAGCAATCAAATCAAAATTAGTTTTGTGCCAACTATTGCCTATTGGCGCATCATTATAAGACGTAACCAAACTTTATCAACACTCGTGCTTTTGACACGAAAGTTTGGTAAGATGAGTCTTCGAACTTAAATAGGACTGACTAACTTACGTCTATTTATAAATATATCGTCAATTCAAATCTGATCACGACTAAAATGAGCTACTTATCAAAATCTGATATTCTATAACAGACACACGAGTAAATGAGTAAATTTCCCTCAGCGTGGAAAGTGTATTGATCTGCAATATTTTCTCAAAACAACCAAAGGGTAGCTAAAACCCATAATAAAAATACATTTTTAGACAAAGGAGAAAACATAGTATGCCAACAAACTTTAAGTTTGAGGTTTTCACAAAAGTATAGTATGCTGTCAACACATCCAAGAGGCAGATCTTTTCATTTGGGGCTTCATCTGTTTGTCTTCCTCAAGTGATATCATGCCCAAATGAGAGGGATCTTCAAGCATCATCTTAGCCACCAAATAACCAGCAATGGACCATGTCTGGTTCTTACGTGCCTGCTTACCGATGTATCGTCCGTGCTTTCCATCATAGTATTCTGGCCAATGATCTTTCAACAAACGCACTTCGGCAAGTTCAGTGGCACGTCTCGCTAATTGGGGTCGTCCGGACTTGATGCAGGCTGCAGTCAGGAGCCATAAAAGGACTACAAAAACACAATCAAGAAGCAACAGCTAAGATCCTCAAATATATTGTTCGACTAAGCTTCAAAGAAATGAAATTACTTTGAACTAACATTTTGATTACGAACACGTGTAGCAGTAGAACTGTTACGTTTTTCTTGCTTGTAAAAAACACGTTATTTATTTTAAGAGTAACTCATACCTTACTCTCAAAATAAACAACTTCAATCCAAAATTGATCGCTAAAAACACACGCTACAGCCAGAATGTATTGAACAATTAAAAATAATGAGAGATCACTTGCAACTTCAGTACACCATACTTTGGCACTCGACAAAAGAGACTGAGCTAAAATTGTTAGGCAGTTGCTCACCTGGCCATGAACCACCGTTGTGGTAACTCCAGCCTGTATTCTTCGGATCACAGCCTGTTACTATTCTCCATTCATGACTTTCCATGGCTGGATAACAAATCTTGAGTGGCATTTCTCCAACGAGCTCATCCCAACGCAATTCAATAAGATCCATTATGGCTGAAGCTTGCTCGGGAGTTGCCAAAGATGATAAAATTGCAATGCAATTACCCAAGCAAAACCAACGGAAATCCATCTTTGCAGGACTTACATTACCGATAAAATAACCACCACGTGTTGGCATAAAATCAAATACCCAATCAGGGAGGGAATCAGGCATTACGTTGAATTTGTTCACTGCAGTATGTGAGTACTCCTCTGTCTTGTAACGATATATATCATTAAGTTGTTTAATGTCGAGCCAAAAGTAACTTCGCATGTGATAGCTTAGAGCATGTAGGCGTTTAGAAATTCTATCCGCACACTCCTTGCCCTCGTCATCATTCTTAAGTAGATTTAAAGCACATCTCAAGGCCATAAAGAACAGTGCTTGTATCTCAATTGGATACCCATAAACACCCTAGATAAAGAACAAATTAAAATATGTAAAACATAATTGTTCCACCAAAATCCTAGTAAACACAGATTTGGTAGATTAAACAGCACGAAAAATAAAGATTGAACGAAGTTTATCAGGAAAAGACGAGAGATTGCATGAAGCTCACCATTCTCCGATCAATCATGCAACATCCATCAGCGCACAACAAGGTTGGGAATGTATCGAAGCCTTCTGACAGACATAAAGTCAAGATAAGTCTAATGCCCCTTTGGCATTCAGGCAATTCAGCCAAAGAGGTGTCCCCGGTAGACTTAGTATACGCACGCAACAAAATAATCCACCAAAAACCCGAATCAATAGGAGCCACTCGACCAATAGCACATTCCCCAAAATCTGCAATTATAGTTTCGTAGTTCTTAACGGGGTCATGAAGCACTTTAAAGCTTGCCGGCATCACCCCTGACCCTAAAGTGAATTGGTCTACCTTTTTCTCCCATGATTGGAGCCGCAGGGTTTTGAGTAGAAAATTCTTCACAATTTCGGGCTCACCGTTCATCAAGAAAGCCAGAGCACTAGGGACAAAATCTCTGACAAAGACCTGCCAGACACTGAAATGTTTAGCCTTTTGTTTTCCGAACTTGAACAGGTTCAGTCCACAACTTCGTAAGCAATTGAGTAATAATACTCACTGGACAGATGCCAAGAGCTAACCATTTTTTACTAGCTCTATAAATAAAGTAAGCATTCTCAGAATTCTTTAAAGTGTAGCATAGAAAAAGATTTTCAATTCATTCTTTTTGTCGAAAAATACATTACAGAATTCAGACACCTTCGTATAAACAAAAACTTCCATGTTTACGATTATGTAAGAATGGGGTTTCATGAGAACACGAAGCAATCTAAAGAATAATTGAATCTTTGAGCTTTGATAAAGATAACACATTAAGAGTACAGTCAAATAACTTATCGTTTAGATCTACCAATTGACAGTAAAGCAATCTGCCACCAATTTTTAGTCAATTTTTATGTTGTAGAGTTACTTGTGTATAAGAGTTGTCAATTTAGGCTGCGCTTATATTTGTGAAAGCATGTTTAGGAAGTGTTTATAAACTATTAAAATTATATAACAGGATTGTACTCGTGGGTCCATCGATAAAAAGTGACTTGAGCGTTTATAAACACAAGCCAAACATAGACTAAGTAAATTATTTTCACTGATGACAAGTACTAAATGGAGTAAATTTCACCTGGTCATAATTAAGTTCTTCAGCAGAATGATCCAATGCAGCAATAGTCCCCACTGGTTGCCCACGAAAATGAACTATTGACCGCTGCAAAGACACCCAAGCTTCGGCAAATATAGGATGTGACTCCACACAAGTAAATGATCTAGGAGTACCAACACTAGACCTGCTTGAAGAATAAAAACTTCCAAAATTGTCAAAAACACGCGATGAGTTCTCACTATTTCTATAAAACTGGCGGGGTGGGGATGAAATTGACAGTTCACTGAAGGATCTCTCATCAAATGATCTCTTCCTTTCTATATTAAGAGGTCTAGGTTTGTCCAGTAATCTAGACAAATCAGTGTCTTCAATTTCAAACAATGATGAACCGGAGTCGTGATGTTTTAATGTTCCATTTTGATGAGCATCCACGGTAGGAGACATCCTCGAATTCTTTCACAAATTCCCAATATAATTTTCCAAACGAAAGATCTGCAAATGGTGAAAGCAAATTTTAATTTCAAGTCATAAGGAAACCAGAATGTCACATCTCTTAGTCAACCCACAATTATTCCAACTGATTTTACAGTTCCAAGCATGAAGCAACAGTACATCAGAAAAACAACTAACAAAATGCACATTAAAAAGTCAACCCATAAAAATTGTCAACTTATTTGAAGAAATAAATGCTTTCCAGAGGCAAGAAATCCACATCATTAGGATGCATCATCAAGACTTTGTTTCTCAAATCTCAATAATTCAATTACATAATTAACAAGTGGCTGAATAGATTAGATAACAAGGTCAGAACAATATTTATTGGAGAGAAAGAAAATTAATTTG